GTCATAACCGACCCGGAATTCCTTGAGTAACAGATAAATAATCAATTAGCTCGAGTTGAAATATTAGAAGGTGATATACAGAGTTGGCATAGGAAAAAGAATCCCATGGCAATGGATCCTCCATTTTAAGCAGCTTTTTGAGAGCTTTCAACAAAATTATCTATCATTCCTTATAAGTTATTGCTTGGTCTTGACTTTCCCAAAAGAATGTTTTTCCCCTCTTTTCTTTCCCCTCCTTCCTTATCTGTAATCCAGAGTGGAATCAGTCATCCCCATGCTATTCTAAGCCTTTGTTTCTTGTAAAGTCTAGTACTTTTTTTTTTTTGGAAAGAATGCCAAACCAGAATGGCAGAATTGCACATGCAGCTATATATACTCATAAAATTAACATTAATATTCAGTGGAACATACAGATTACAGTCACACACTCATACTTATCATTGTATTACATCCACAGCCAATTCACAAAGGTAGCACAACACAACACAATCCACACCAACTCTGCACTTCCAGCATAACACATCATTTCTACCTTAGTCAGCATCTGCAAATCTGCATATTTACATACAGAATTGGAGATACGAACATTTATGCACATGTGCAAGAGTAGTTGGAAAGGCAGGAAATGATGGAGAGAAATAAAAAGTAGGTTGTCTTACTTACCCTAGCTCCGAGAGCTTCAAATGAGACTCAGCATAATCAGCAAAAAAAGCATCCTCATCCTATAGCAAATTACCAGAGCCATAAGTTTAATAAATCCTTTGTGTGACACCTAGATTTATAAGAAACAAAGTGATAGATATGGTATGGTACTCACTGCAGCATATTTCTCGACAAGAGGGCGGAAGACAGGATCCTCAAGAAGGGCTTTGTCTGTTGGTAGCTGGATAAGGCCTTCATTCTCTCCACTGAGAAGCTCCCTATTTCAAAGATGAAGTGACTAAAATTAACAAGTTGGTTCTTAGCGTTTAAGGACATTTCGTGAGGCAATCTTGTTGAAACAAGAGTTAAACAGAACATTATCATCTAAGCGGTGAACTGATCTTACTTGAAATAGGTGTTATCAAAAATGAGAGGGTCGGTAGTCCAGGGACCTTCAAATCCAGAACGCTCCTTGTGGCACCTACCCTGAAAATGTAGTTTTTGAACTTGTGTTTAATCACCATGGAAAGGAAATGTAAATTGAACAGCTGAAACAGTTCACTCTAGCATGCTGCAATCTGCAAAGAAGTCAGCTGAAGAATTTCATGTTTACTAACTGACCAGGGTGTGACCACCAGACAAGGCAACAATGTCTTTATCACTAAGGCCCATGTGGCCGAAGACATCTCTCAGATGGTCTGAACCTATATTGGAAAATGAATCAAACATATGCTTCAGAAAGTAATTGAGTGCACAAACATATGCTTCTGAGACGATTTATGATCTGAAAATGAAAACATTAACTGACCTTTGGTGGCTTCAGGCAAACGACCTTCTGGAGGTGGTTCATTTTTGTCCTGAGACAAGTACAAATAGAAACTTAAAACTTACTGTAAATCAATATGAACATTTCAGAAATATTAAATGTGCTTTCAATAAAATGATATACGAGCAAAAAGATGAATCATGTGCACTCGTGTTGCAGTGGGTATCCTATCTGGATAAAAGCACAATGCCTTGGATACAGAATGCATACAAAGGTTTTCTGGTGAGAGAATGATGAACAAAGAAAATTTCACTGCTTGTAAGCAAAAACCTTATCATATAGAGAAAAAACTGGATGTTATCTAATTTGCACGTCTCCCATACAGGATAATATATTCCACGCTTGAAACAACACTAGAAATCTAGTAAAACCATATTGTCTCAGCATTATCTAATATAAGCAAATCTTGCATTCACTTTTTATAAATAACAGTTGTCCAATCCCCTTCAAAAAATGACATGCTCAATCACATTAGCACTTCAAACATGTCAATTTGGGTGACTCTTAGAAACTTCTAGAATCATATCAACTATGATAAAGAGAGTCCCAAAACAAGTACTTTTTTCTTGCTGAAGTAAGATTAAAAAAAGCTATAAGGAGACTCTAAAATCACACCCTTCCCCCCTTGTAATGCATAGGCCTATCCTATGTCATCTTATTTCAAAGCCCTCTCTTCCTCACATCTCAGCACCTAATAATCAGTTTGGAATAATGCTGTTGGTAAAATTGCAAAATTTAACATATAATGATTGAGTTATGCTCTACCTTAACAGACATAAGATCAATCCTAAGGAACCTTAATAAAACAATTTTTCAATGTCTAATGAAACAAACTTCCTACTTCAATGCATTTGATCATTGCTCTGCACTTGCACTTAGCTAAAACCCCATTCATCTAACTATCGTATTGTTACTCTTAAGGCGATTGGACTCCTTTCAAATCCATGTCTTCTATTTCTCTCCCAACATAGAATAACAATAAATACTACATTTCCATCAGGTTAACATAACTTAATGAAGTACCAAGGGGAGTCTCTACTGGTAAGAACATGAAACTCTTATGTTGGAAGTGTCAAAGTTCGAATCTTGAGACGGGTTGGAGAGTGATTTAGGAACAGGGATCATCAGATGTAACAAAGAAAACATAGCAGAACGAATCAATTAATCAAAATGTAAGTTTCACTCACTGGTCTTCCGGGATGGAATGGAATTTCAGGCCCTCCTGTGACTTCAACTGCAACAACTCCAGCCAGCTTCAACAGAAAAATTCAACGCATAGCATGTCAACCTAAGTGTTCAAGAAATAAACCGTTTACAGTTTTTCTTGTGTAAGAGTAATTAATTAATTCAACAGATTACCTGGTAGAAATCTGCATAAGACAAAATGGGAAACTGCTCCTTGATGGGTTCCAGAAGCCTAACAGCTATATCAAGACCATTGTTTGCTTCATGGGCAAGCTCGTCCGGGTGCCTGATCGTCCCAAATGGCCCTCCCGTCTTCGTTTCCACATCAAAAGTACCAGCCGAGTGCCATCTGCAAATCAAAAACATACGCATACATGCTTGAGTTCATAAATAAACAGAAGATTACTCTCTGGACACATGTTGACATACATAAAATAACTTCAACTTACGCCAAACGAAGGATGATCGGAGCACAGTTTTTCTCCGCGATGAGTCCTCGAAGCTTCTTCTTGCATTTCTCCACTGCTTTCTGATACTCCTCGCTCACCTTCGGGTAACACTTCTTCGCCATAGCACCAAAGAACGATCTTCCCCTGTATTTTGACATACAAATACAAACCTCAAGATCAAAAGAATCAATAACAACGAAAACCCATCATCGAACTTCGCCAGAAAATATGAATTAAACAACACATGACATAACCTTTCTTAGATTACGAGCAGAAATGGAGGTCTAGAGAGTTCACAAACTGAGACTGAAGCATTCAGAGCAGGAGGAGAATTTATAGAGGTCATTTTCTGAAGAAGATTCTAGTAGCGGGAGTTGTTGGCCGTC